TTTTTAATATTTATTTTTTAGTTCTCGGCAGACACAACATCTTTGTTGGTATGTGGTGCTGAGGATCGAACCCGGGCCGCACACATGCCAAGCGAGCGCGCTACCGCTTGAGCCACATCCCCAGCCCCTATCAGATCTTTTTAATAGCTAGTTTTTGCATTTTAACAAATGGAACTGGAGACTTGTTCTGTAGCCTTAAGATTTTCCCATTTGTTAACTGGCCTGTTCTAGTGTCCCAAGGAAGGAAATACCATGAAATCCCAATTAATGTTAAAGTGTTTGGCAAAATGGAATATATTCTGAAACCCAATTATCACATAATATTTTTGCTGTGAAAAGATGGGAGCTTTCAACATTAATTTTTCAAGCAGCACTTGTCTCTGTGGATCCCCAGTTAGAAATAAAGTAGTGTATTTTGTACTTTTGTTTCATTATCTGACCATAAGCTGTGATCTCATGATGTCATAGCATGTCATGTTCTCTGCTCTCCATTTTCCCTCAACCCCAGGACCAGGGCAGGGTACCTAAAAAAGGTGCCATTTCAAATGTATTTGAGAGACAAAATGGATTTAGAAATCTAGAAGTAGGTGTGGGAAAGGCTATTCTTTCCCACAAAGGCTAGAGGTAAGAGAAACCATGTTGTAATGTGGCACAGCACAGCACAAAACAGCTGGGTGCAGCACAGCCAGCAAGGCCTTTGGTGAGGGCCTGCCCAGGGCTGCTGATATTTCCACCCCCAGGCAGAGTACTTCATCCATCAGTCCACTCTCCTCACTTCCCAGTCCCTCCTCTGCACTGCCCAACTGGCATCAACTTTTAAGATCAGTTGTTTGCTATCCACACAGCCTCAGATGCCATTTCATTTATTAAAACCACTGTTCCACCTTTATCACATGGACAGTGCACATTCATGATAGGAAAATTAAAATTAAAACTACATAGAGGAGCCAATATTGGAAACTAAAATACAGTCAACCCTCCATGTCTCTGGGGTTTATATCTGCTATACTGAATCAAGTACAGATAAAAAATATTTGAAAAAAAATTATATCTGCCCTGAACATGTACAGACATTTTACTTGTCATTATTTGCTAAAAAATACAGGATAAGAATTATAAATATAGTATTTACATTATATCAGATATAAGGAAGCTAGAAATGAGGTAAAGCACAGGGGAAGACACGCACAGGTTCTATGCAAATAATATGCAGTTTTATATGAGGGACTTGAGCAGTCAGGGATATAGAGGTATAACTGCACTCTTTAATTCCACTTTCTAGGAAAAAGTCTTCTTAGAAGATTTTTGTACGTTAACTGGTTATTATACATTTTGATATTTAAGAACATTCTCTGTATTTTTCACAAATATGCTTTATGTAAGTGGATCCATACCCTTGATACTGTTTTATATGCTGCTTTTAAATTAGTTTTATATTTTAAACATGTTTTCATGTTAGTAGATGTAATGGCCCAAATATACACAAAATTTAGTAACAGTATATTGACAATTAGAATGAACACGTGTTCTTTATTACCAGTTTTGGTTATTTCAAATAAAAAATAAAATGCTCTCTTACAAGGCCAGAGAATTCTTGATAATGATGTGATATGTGTTGTTGTCAATGGGAAGTGTAGTGTTTCAGTTTGAAAATTAGCAAAATAACATCTTCACTGTTAGTGGCCTTATGTATACAGATCATAATCTAACCAATTATCTACTATTATGCTCTGTGTTTTAATGCTCTGAATAATACTCAAAGACCCTCTTTTTCCATATATAATTTTGTTCCTCTGTAATTCTCTTCCTAGCATATAGACAGAAAATTGAGATTGATACTTCAGAAAGTAGACACGTTTTTTAAAATTTAATACATATTGACAAACTCTGACTCTGAAAGGTTAAACAATTCATACTCCCATTATCAGTGTATGAGCATGCTGCTTTCCCCTTACCTTGGCAACATGGATATTATGGATTGAATTATGTCCCTCCAAAATATATGTTGAAATTTTAACCCCAATACCTCAAAATGTGACCTTATTTGGAAACAGCGTCATTGCAAACGTAACTGGTTAGGATGAGATCATTCTGCAATAAGGTGGCTTTCTAATCTAATATGACTGGAGTCCTTATGAAAATGGGAAATCTGGACACAGAAACACACAAAACACTACGTAAACACAAAGGCAGTAATAGGGTGGATGTTTTTCCAAGTGGAGAAATGCTAAACATTGCTAGCAAACAACAAAACTAGCAAGAACCAAGGAAGGATTCCCTTATGGGTTTTAGATGGATCCTGTCACTGCTGACACCTTGATTTCAGATTTTTTTAAACTCATGAACATAGTGGTGAAATCGATAATGATAAAATTTTGAGCATATTATATGTTCCAAGCACTTCCCTGAGGACAGTATTTTCACTCATGTATACCTTTAACAACACTCTGAGGTGGCAGTATTATTATTCCATGTTGAAAGATGATGATATCATAGCTCTAATTAAATGTTTTAACAACTTATGCTTTACTTTTAGTGGCTCCTTTCATAGTTATAAATAGTGTGCTATTCCTTAACTTTATCCCTTTAGACATTAAACATAGATTCCCCACTCTGAAGTATGCAAGTTCATAACTCACTTCAATTACTCCTTACCATTCCTCTCCTGCACCAGTTTCATTCTAAGTCTTGGTAGCTGGATATAAGAGTCACCTATACTTCCTATTCTATCAAAGTTTCTGTTGTTTCCTCATCTCTTTCTTGTTTCCTACACCTACCAACTAAATTTTGCTTTCACTGTCAAAACATATTAAAATATACATTTAGTTCTTTTGGTAGGCAGAATAATGACCCTCCAAAAATGTACACATCCCCATTCCAGAACCTGTGAACATATAAATTTATAAGGCAAGGGATATTAAGGTTGCAGATGGAATTAAAATTTCTTATCAACTGCTTTTGAAATAAAGAGTATCCTAGATTATGTAGGTAGGTCCAATACAATCACAAAAGGTCCTTATCAAGAGGAGACAGAAAGACCAGAGTCAGAGAGCAAATGACTTAGAAGATACTTTGCTGCAGGCTTTAAAGATGAAAAATGGGGCCACAAGCAAGGAAATGGTAGCCTCTTCCCTAAAACCACCAGAAAAGAATGCAGCTCCACCAACAGTGTATAAAAACAGCATTAATATATACAATTTATATATAGTATGTGTCATTTAAAAATTTTAATTAAAAACTTTGATTATCACAGAATCCCATTTTAGACTTCTGATCTTCAGAGATATAAGAACATTGAAATACCAATGAGAAACTAATACAGTTCTATACCCATAATTAATCATTTTACACTTACTCTATAGATTAATTTTAAAATTTGAAAACCAGCAAGGGGACTTTGTATCAGTATGACTGTAAACATTGTCTTTTGGGGGAATTGCATTTCTTTCTTTGGAGCCTATCATCCACTTTAATTTTCCTATTTCTCTATAGTTTCTTTTGGCTAGGAGAATAAATATTTTATATATTCATTGTGAATGTGGAGGTAGGGCAGATTAACTCTTCTATGTATAGACCTTCAGATAATGACCCTGTTTTTCACCTGTTTTTGAGACACTCTCCTAGCTGTTCCTACAGTCTTGAGGCCTGCATCCTCTCTGGGTACTGCCAGCCAGCCTCTCCAATTGGCAGCGCCCCATCTGTTTCCCATCCACGCCCAGGACTGCTTGTCTGCTGGTTTCCTCCGTGGGCACTTTCTGCATTCAAAGTTTTGTTAAGCTCTTTCACTTCCTGTTGTTATCTTTCTCATGGGATTGTACGGTTTTAGTGCTTTCACTGTTGCTTAGTGAAATCTTAAGAAGAAGAGGAGTAAACATAAATGTGTGTGCTCAGTATGGTATTATGAACAGAAAACTCTAGTTTTTTTAACCTATATTATTAGTACTTTGTTTCCATTTTTAAAAAATTTACAGAGCAAAAACATTTGGAATTCCTTTTGGTTTACACTAAGGTAAATTACCCTCTAGCAAATTATCTCATTTTTCATCAGTGATTTCAGATGCTGGATTTAAAGCTGGATGCAGTAGTGCATCCCTGTAATCCCAAAGCTCAGGAGGCTAAGGCAGGAGGATCCTGAGTTTGAGGCAAGCTTCAGCAACTTAGTGAAGCCCTGAACAATTTAGTGAGACCCTGTCTCAAAGTAAAAGAACTGGGGATATAGCTCAGTGGTAGAGTACTCCTAGGTTCAATCCCTACACCAAAAATGACAATGGGTTTATCATGTACTAAGTCTACATACATGCACATGTATGCACAAATACACATATGTACATATAGGTCCATGTCTGGACTTATTTTTCCATCCCTCTTCCTCCTCCTCCTCCTCCTCCTCCTCCTCCTTTATTTTCCATCTCTCCTCCTCCTCCTCCTCCTCTTCTTCCTCTTCCTCTTCCTTCTCCTCCTTCTCTGAGAAATAATTCCAGATTTTAGTATACTATGCAAGCACTCTACTGCTTAGTTACACTCCCAGCCCATATTTAATCTTTTTTTTTATTGCTGTCTATTCTGTCTGTGTACTGCATTATTTTAATTCATATAGATAAATGCTTTTAAATTAGTGTGTGCATATGTCTATACACATGTACAAACTATATATATATATATATATATATATATATATATATATATATAATATTTCTAGGAATATGAATAAGGAACTATTAACTGTAATAACATAGAGGAAAAAGAATAAGATGGGTAGTTTAGGAACAAATGTGGGTGGAAGTCTTTGTTTTACTATAGGATCCATATCAGTATTATTACTTTTCCATATATGAATATTATTTTCATTGTCACTACAAATTATGAACATTCCCTTCTGAATCCCAAATATGTTCCTCCATGTAAGGTCTAGCATATGAATGGGAGGCTCTGCCAAAGAAAAGTCCTACAGTGTATAGATATTCTGTTTGGTATGACTGGCTTTCTCTCTAAATGCTCAGTATGAAGTAGCTGTAAGAAGACTTTTTGTTTCAGACTCAAATATGTGTGAAATAAGTATATGAAATTTTTCAAAATCTGCCATTAGTTGTGGACAATATTCTCTATTTTCAGCATTAATTCTATTTTCCCTCATTTAGCAAATTATTGTATTAATTTTATAGAAGGATAGTTGTTTGGATACATGATGTTATTTTTCCATCTTTTCTAGAAATTTAATCATTTGTTAGAGTAATAGTTTGATTGTTATCATCTTGGTGTATGTCATCTCCAGATATGTAGCATGGGAGAGACTGAAAAATACACAAAGACAGATCAAAGAAATGGAAATAAAAAGAACACAAGGCAAGATAAAGACCAAGGAACAGAGATAGAAAGATGAAGAAATACCAAAAACAGATTTAAAAAGGATATTCACTTAAGTTGTATAATGAGTTAATCCTCTTGTGTATTTTGCAACCTTAAAAATTAGTCAAATTGAGAATATGTTTCACACTGTACCTTAAAATATTTCACATTTAACACAGATGGAGCTTAATAGGCTGGAGTACAAAGGCAGGGGAGAAATTCCCCAAACCACTTATAAAGGGTCATCCTTCATAATAACAAATACAGAGAGAGGCAGCAATAGAGAAAAGGAAAGAGGGAATATGACAGTCCACTTCAGAAAGATGTATTCAGTTATGTAAATCATTAATTTACTCAACTATTCTGCATTTCTCATCCATAGATAATAACTAATTTGTGAATACATACGCATTATGTTTTATATGGTACCCTTGAATATTTCACACACAACACAGATGGCATTTAATAAGCTTAATAAGCTGGGGCACAAGGGCAAAAACAGGATGAGTGAAGTGAGAAAAAAAATCTTCCAATCTGATTAATGCTTCAGTTCTCACTTTGGCAGAGAAAAAATGTGGAGAGAAACAAAATATCAGAGCTGTATTTTTAAAAACTGATTCAATTAACTGATACAATGGATTATTTTGCTAAATTTCCTAAAAGTTCATTTGTAATTTTCATCCATATAAAACTATCTTGTGTATGAATACCTGTGAATATGCAAAAGTGGCTTTTCACTGTCCTATTTACTGTTTCTGGACCCAGATAGTGTGCATTAAAAGGGAAGAGATGGAGAATCTCCCCAACCTGGTAAAAGATTTCAGTTCTCTATCTATCTAAGGAGACAGCATTACAGAGGGAAAGAAAATATACAAAAGGATAGTACTGCAGAAAAATATGTCAGAACACTCAAAACAAATTGTTAAAATTTAATAAGCCTTTGAGAAGTGCATTTGCTTTGCCTTTCAGATCCATAGAATGTAATTTATGAATAATACATTTTACATTTATGTATTAAATATTTCACATTAGGGCTGGGGTTGTGGCTTAATGGTAGAGCACTCACCTAGCATGTGCAAGGCCCTGGGTTCAATCCTCAGCACCACATAAAAATAAATAAAGGTATTGTGCCCAACTACAACTAAAAAATAAATAAAATATTTTTAAAAATAAATATTTCACATTATCAGAAATATCATTAATAAGTCAAACTTTCAGGAAAAATAATTTTTTCAATTCATTTTCAGTTGAAAAAGAGAGGGAAGAAAAAGAAATAGGGAGACAGAAAGAGATAAGCAGATGGACACACACAGGACAAAGAGGTTGAAAAAGAAGCAGAGAGAAAGAAAAGGGTAGCTCCAAAATTATAATGAGGAAAACATGACATAGTTTTGTATGAGATCATTGCTAAATTAAAAATAAGCCTATGTGTATTTTTCATGTCCATGTAAACAAGCTAAGATGAGAATACACACACAAGATGGATTATATACTGAGGTTTGGATGACCAGATGGTGCTTCCTAGACGTAGGTAAAATGGAGTGGGTAGGGTAAGAAAGTGGGAAATTGCCTGAGTTGTGAATAATGCCACAATGAAATGTGGCTGGAGTAATAGAAGTGAAAATTATGAAACTCTGATAAGAGAGGTATTAGTGTGGTCAGATTTAAGGGGTCTTTCTGGGCTAATTGGGGGAATTTGTCTTTTGTTCTTTGGGAGATGGTAAACAGTTAGAGTGTCTCTACTAGAAAAGGGATAGCGTCTGAGTTTCTTTCTGGAGACTCAGTGATAATCTGTCCCATACCTCTTCCTACCTTCTACTGATGGACAGCAGCAATCTTTAGCTCTTCTTGGCTTGTGGATGAACCACCCCCAATCTCTCCCTGTGTCTTTCTATGTATCTCCCTCTTCTTACTCTGGTATGGCCTTGTTTTAACAAATTATATCTGCAAAAGTCTTAATTTCAAATAAGGTATATCTTTTGGAAAGACACAACTCAATCCATAACAAGTAAAACACTACTGACAAATCCAGAAAAGTGAGAACTGACTATTGCATTTTATCATGTAATAATTAGTACATGCCTTAGAAGGCTGTTGTTTGGCACATAATAAAAGTTCAATAAGTACTCACTGTTTTTTTCCCACAGAGCAAAGTAAGTTTATTTCTATTTATCTGCAATGAATGATAAATGCAATTTATAAAACATTTTAACATGGTTTAGAAAAAATTAAGTACATGGGAATAAATCTAAATAAGTAGAAATCTTTTTATCGGTTCTTTTTACTTATACATTATGGTGGAGTACATTTTGATGTAAACTTTGGGTGTGAAACACTGCTGATCAGCCCACACTCTGCTATGTAAACTTTTGGCTTCAACCAAATAAACCAATTAGAACATATGTCTCTTTTTACCTCAGTGTCTTGATCTATAAAATTAGAGTAAAATAGCACCTATGTCATAGGGTTGTTGCAAAGATTAAATATGTTAATAAAGTTAAAGTGCTAGGTGAGTGCCTGTCACAAAGCAAGCACTGTAGAAGAGATCATTGTGTCTTAATATTATTTAAGTGAGAACATGCATTTATTTAAGTGTATTGGTGCCAAAATTGCTCTGAGCAAGCAATATTGGCACACCAAAAACATACTATTTCATGATTATTAAAGAGCTCTGACTACATGCTTGGGAGGTGCTAGGATGTCTTGTCTTAAATATAATAAGGAACTTTGTGAACTGAATTAGGGCCCAACTTGCTTTAACAATGTTTATGTGACTACATACTGCCTAATTTTACTCTCTCTCCAGGAGAATATGTTGTCATGACAACCCATTTTCATCTCAAGCGAAAAATTGGCTACTTTGTAATCCAGACCTACTTGCCATGTATCATGACTGTGATTCTGTCACAAGTGTCTTTTTGGCTCAACAGAGAGTCTGTCCCTGCCCGCACAGTCTTTGGTAAGTGTTGCTTGCTGGAAAATGAGGAAGATACATTTGAAAAGACAACTATGGGTAGTCAGAGAAGAGATGAGAAAGGTTGAAGAACAATTCCTAGAGGTAACTAAGGAGCAAGCCCCACAATAGTAACTAAATCATCAGGTTCTAGGATTTCAGGCAACTGAATTCTTAAAAAGGATGTGGAATAAGAGGAGTGTTGAAGTAAGATTACTGAAATTCTGCCCTCCTCAGTCAGGATTGCCCCAGGAGTAAGGAAAGGAACTGAACCTTCAGTGGAAAAGGGAAGTATTCAGTGCAGACTGAAGAAAGTAAAGGGTAGGAAACCAAGCTGACAGCATAGAAGTAATTTGGAGCTTTTTAGAGAACCTTTTTTTTTTGGTGTGAGCATCTGACTATGCTGCTTTTACTTTAGCTTTTTTGAAAATATGAATTAGCTAATATTCAGTAAATGCTGCAAACAATTTGTAGAGTTCTTTTAAAATACCTATAATCAGAAAATCTACTCAGTATGAGTTTTCTGATGTCTAGGAAGAGATTTAAATATCATTAGCACTTTTTCCCCAGATACTTAAAGCATACAAAATATTCTCTGCCTGTTCCTCCTGCTGAAAGATTTTTAAGACATAAATATTAATTAATTCTTTTGGGATACTAAACTACTTCCATGGCCCCACACAGAAATCATTACTACCAATATCCTGAAGCTCTACCATGTCATTAAATAAATAGTAAATGATGTTTCAGAAATTAGTAGCACTTCAGGTCAGGCCTAGGAAGAAACAACAGTGGAGAAAGAGAAAGAGTTATCTTAAAGAAAAAAGAAAAAAATTCGAAGGGTATGACATCATGGAAGTCAACAGAGGATGCATATTCAAACTATCTGTTGGGTATTGTGGTATACTTCATGTTAGTGATCTTGGAAAGAACAGTTCTAGTGAAATGGAGTTAGCAGAAGCTATGTGGGAGTGGGTTAAAGGTGCCCATTTTGGGAAATATAAAAAGTAGAGATCCTGAAAAATCCTGCTCTACAAATTCCTAAAAACACTAGATAAGAAAGCATTCTTTTAAGTTAACATCTAATGTCAAAAACATTAAAGGAAATATTTAAAGGCCCCATGGAAGAGGGAATTAAAAAGTGCAGTCTCCATCACATGAACTGATACTCTAGTACGAAGATGAGTGAAAGGATTACCCATTTGGGTTAAAAAAAGTTTTAGTTTTAAGGTTATTCAAGGAAGGCATGGAGCCTAAGTAAAGTTGGGGGTTACAACTAAGGTTGTGTTACACTAAATAGTGGCCCCCAAAGATATTCATGTCAAGTCCCTGGAACTTGTGAATATAACCTTATATGGCAAAAGTAACTTTGAAGAGGTGATTAAGTTCAAAAGCTGGGAAGATTATCCTGTACCTTCTACATGGGCCCTAAATGCAATCACAAGTGTTCCAAAAGTGATAAGGATATTTGACTACAGAGAAAAAAAGCAGTGAGATGATAGAAATAGGACAGATTGGAATATGTTCTTCTGTTGGCTATGAAGAAGGAGGAAGGGGTCCACTAGAAAAGGAATCCAAATTGTGTAGTTCTGGAAGACGGAAAAGTCAACAGATTATTCTTCTAGAGAATTCAGAGGCAGTGCATTTCTGCTGACACCTTGACCTGAACCCAATGAAATTTATTTCAGACATCTAGTGTATGAATAAATTTGTGTTGTTTTGTCACTAAATTTCCGGCAATTTGTTACATAAAAGTATAGGACATTGCTGAATCAATGTCCTATACTTTTATGATTCAGCAATCTGTATACGGGGTAAAAATGGGAGTTCATAACCCTTTTGAATCAAACTGTGAAATTTATCAAAATAGATGTAATGTTTTGAACTACCAACAATAAAAAAAAAAGTATAGGACATTAATGCAAAGACACTGGCCATAAATTCAATACCATTGAAGGGTCATACCCTCAATGTAAGAGAGCACTAGAAAAACACACTTATCAGTGCAGGAGACAACAAAAAAGCATTTTTATTTTTGCCTGGGCGCTGTGTGAAATATGGGATTCTTTGAGAATTTATTTTTTAATTTAATCTTAGCCTCATACTAATTTAGAATTCATATTTACAGTAACTACATTGATGTGAAAGCCTCCAAGTTGAAATGTTAATTTAAAAAGTGATTGCAGAATTTTTATGTAAGAATGCAGAGCCAAAAATAGCCAGTATTCTTCTAAAGAAGAACAAAGCAGAGAGACTTTCCCCACAAAAGTGTCAAAAATGATTAAAAAGCTATAGTAATTAAGACTCTGTTATTGGCATAAAGAAAAGAAAAATAAATAAATGAAATACTATAGAGAGCTGAAAAATAGATCCATGCCCATGTGTCTGGAAACCTGATTTATCACAAAGATGGCATTGTAGAGAATTAAATTAAAGTTGGTCGTAGACTTGAAAATAAAAGCTAAAATTATGATGCTCTTAGAAGAAAATCTAAAGTAATATCTTTGCATCATTTGGTAGGCAGAAATTCCTTATTGCAAAAAAATTAATAACACCAAAGAAAAGGAACTAATACATTCAATTTCATCAAATTTAACAATTTCTGTTAATCAAAGGGTAACATTAAGAAGATAAAATGGCAAGCATAGACTTGGATAAAACATTGTGCATATGCATAAGACTTATAAAGTACATATATTCCTAAAATATCAAAAGTTCCTGCAACTCAATGATTAAAAGGCAAAGAATCCAATTAGATAGATAGATAGATATAGATATATAGAGAGATAGATATAGATATAAAGATATAGATAGATAGATAGATAGATAGATAGATAGATAGATAGATAGATTTCATATACTTATGGGCATATATATAAATTTTACATACATAAAAATGATAAGGATCTTTTTATACACACACACACACACACGCACACACACACACATGCATGCCCATAAGTGTATGAAAAGATCCTTATCATTTTTATCAGGGAAACATAAAGTAAAAATTCACAGAGATATCAGTTTAAACACATGCATGGTCATATTTAAAAAGATTGATATTGTCAGATACTAGAGAGCTTCATGAACAATTGGAACTGTAAGACACTACTGGTGGGAATGTAAAGTGAAAAAAAAAACATTTTGAAAGTTTAAAATGTGTTTACCCTATAATCTTGGTATTCTCCTACATATACATTTGCATCATTAGATATAGACTTTCAAAAAGCCATGATGACTATATTTAAGTAGATTAAAGAAATGTGAGAAATCTGGCAGATGCATGGAAATTAAATGAGAGAATGATAGACAGTTGGAGAGAGAGAGAGAGAATATATCACATGCACACAGAGAGAATATTGGAAATTGTAGAACTGAAAAATACAGATTAAATATCAATGGTTTATACATAGTGGAAGGATAATCCATGAATTGGAAGATAGGGCAGAAGAAGATAACTTAAAAGGACACAAATGTAAAATACATAGGAGAGAAAAGACATACAATGTTTTTGAGATGGCCTAATTGGAATCCTAGAAGAAGAGAAGTGAGAGAATGGTACTGATGAAAAATTTAAGAGGTATTGGCTGATCACTGTACAACCTGAAGAAAGATATAAAGTAGGGACAGGATAAGGGAGGAAAAGTGTAATGAATCTGACCAGCTTTCTTATGTACATATATGAATATACCACAGTGAATCTCAACATCATGTATATTCACAAAGTACTACTTTAAAAAAGAAAACCTGTAAGTAAATAGCAGATAGATCAGTAAAGGGAAGGGAACAAGAGGAGGGAGGAGGCAAGGAAAAGGGTAAGTACTGGGGATTGAGTTACAACAAATTAAATTATGTCAAGATGAAGCCAATTATTATGTATAAATAACCAATAAACACTTTAAAATCTATAAAATCAAGTAGGATAAATTAAGACATGAAAATAAGGACACATCATAGTGAAACTTCTGGAAACAAAAAGCAAAAAGAACATAATGGTCTTAAAAATAACCTAGAAGAAAACACATTGTCTTTAAAGTGATAACAAACATACTGACATCAACAAAAACAAAAACAGGACATTTTAGACAAAATAAAATAAAATAAAATAAAATAAAATGCTAAGCATCCATTATTACCATCGATCCTCACTCAAGGAAACACTAAAGGTTATTTATGAAACAAAAGGAGAACCATCCTTGAAAGAAGGTTGAAGGTGTATTTAAAAACAAGAATAAAAATAAAACAAAATATGAGTAATGGTAATGTGAATTGAATGTATAAAATAATAACAAGTGATTTATTCGGTCAATAACATGTTTAGAATAAAATACTACACTATAATATAATCTATATAAGTTAAGTTAGTGATACATGAATATAAAATGCTCTATGGGCTTTCACTATCAGGGATAAGTGTACCAATTAATATTTAATTTTCATAAATCAAAGATGCATGCTGACTGAAACTCTCCTATATCTTCTGGGAATTTTAAATGTTACAACTACTTAAAAAACAGTTTGTGTCATATGAAACTAAACATATGGTCACCATATGATCTTGCAATTCCATCCCTAGATATTTACCAAGAAAAATGAAAGCATACACTCTTACAAATACTTACATGTGATCATCCAAACACCTTTGTTTATAGTTGTCAATTATTGGAAGCAATCCTGATGTCTACTAATAGATCTCCCAGAATACATGAATAAATTATATTCTTTCAATACATTTCGTCTGAAATTAAGAGGAATAACTAAAGATAAATGAAAAACATGAATGAACCTAAAATATTATGCCAAGTGAAGGAAGCCAGGAACAAATGAGTTCCGACTATACAATTTTATTTTCATTGCACTGATCACACATGCAGTTTGGCTACCCCATGTAATCAAGTAAATGAACTAGAAGTGCTTAAAAGAAGTGAAGGGTCAGTCAGTGCTACCTGAGCCTTTCAAGAAGAGCTTTCTAGAAGAGTCTTGAAAGAAAAGCACTGGTTAACAGGCTGGATCTCTTTTTTAAAATACTTAGATTCTCTTTGCCCATGCACAAAGTGTTCTGAATTTTTGATTAAGAGTCTACCAAGTCTGACCAGCTAAGAGCTCTCCATAAGATGACAGTTCTAATTAAACCCTAAAACATCTCTACTGAGATATAGTGAAGAAATGTGTTTTGCAGTTCTGTTCTCTCCAGCTAATCACATGCACAATGCTGTGCATGTGCCAGGGTGGAAAATTGTGTTTGCTGATAACCATAAATGAAGTAGCTTCTTTTTCCTTAAGTTACTCCTACCTTGGTATGATATGAAGGTTACTGAGTCTTGGGTTCATTCTTAGAGTTTACCAGATTATGCATTCAAATTATTTTAAATAGATACTAGTTACATGGCTGATTCCTAACATGGCTTGAAATGTGTAGTATTTTTCAAATCAGCTTGATGACTCCCTACCTAGTTCATGCAAAGTATTCTTTTAGGGTCTCTATTTAAATCGCACTGAGTCTGTGTTTCAGTCTGGATTGTCATGTATACAGCAAGTATAAGTAAGGTTCACAATGGAGCAAGATGGGAATGGAAACCCCAAGGCTGCAACACATATTGTTGACTCTCTGGATAGAATTATGACTTCATTCCATGCTCTACTTGACCCAGGCTCATAAGGCTCATATTTCCCATCCTCTTCAGCATGTCAGCACTTAGAAAGAAGTTGTGATTGTTCCTTCTTGAAGTGTGAATGATTTAGATCAATTTATATAAACAAAAGCTCTGGTTTTACAAAAACTCACAAGACACAGATTTTGTATCAGAGACCTAAAGTGTGGTGTGACTACAGGACGATTTTCCACAATAGTTATTTCATTATTAGAAGAAAGTCTAGAATTAAAGAACTGAAAACCATACAGATCTCAGAGCATGTTCTTTTAAAAAAATTAGTTGTAGATGGACACAATACCTTCATTTTATTTATTTTTTTTTAATGCAGTGCTGAGGATTGAACCCAAGGCCTCACACGTGCTAGGCAAGTGCTCTACCACTGAGCCACAGCTCCAGCCCCTCAAACCATGTTCTGAATCTTGCACTCAGTTTTGGCCTGTTCAGAATAGAACCACCAAGATGCAGAAGGCAGTGAACAAGAAAATTTCATAAGGAGAACATGGGTCTCCATACCCATTCTGGAGATGAGTAGGATCACAAAATCATAGGTCCCATTTTTCAGGTCTCTGAAGGCCTGTTCTGGAAAGGAGGGAGTGGAATGTTTCTTTTTGTCACAAAAGGAACTCTAAGAGCAGTCAGTGGGCTGGTAGTTAAAGAGAATGCAAATTTCAGCTCAAAAGTGGGTTTTTCTAATTTTAAGACTCTCTTATTATCAAATAAACTAATTTTACTCTTCAGTAGACATGTTTAAGTACAGGTTAAGGGACAACTGTTAGAAGGTCTGCACTGAATATTCCTATCTCTGTGCCAATTGACATAGAGTGACTACAAGGTGGACCCATCCATTCGGCTTTGATATCTGTGTATTTTACTTTAAATGGACCATTTCAAGTAGGAATCTGGTAAGCTCATCAAGTAGACTCTCAACACATTCCAGTTGCAACTTGTTCTCATATTATCTCTCTCCAGGTGTCACCACTGTTCTCACCATGACCACCTTGAGTATCAGTGCCAGAAACTCCTTACCTAAAGTGGCATATGCGACGGCCATGGACTGGTTCATAGCCGTCTGTTATGCCTTTGTATTTTCTGCACTGATTGAATTTGCCACTGTCAACTACTTTACCAAGCGGAGTTGGGCTTGGGAAGGCAAGAAGGTACCAGAAGCCCTGGAAATGAAGGTGAGATACACAACAAATGAGAGCTAGGAAGCACTCCCTGAGAGAACTGTATTGAGACCAGGAGTGAGCAGCCTATAGCCTGCAGGAACTGGGCAGGGCTGTGTGCTATTCACTGGGGTCATCAATCCAATTCTCAACTGGAGTGCTTCTGGCAAGCTGGAGTTTTGTCGGGGGGGGGGGGGGGGGGGGGGGGGGGCAATGAAAAGAGAGCAGGTGTTCTCAGTCCATAGAGGGTGTGCCATGGAGGGTTTACATCATCATTATCAAATGTAAGTGTGATCCTGCTAGATTCAAGGGAAACCCATTGTTTTTACAAAGTCCCCTGGAAGCTTGCACTCTATGTTAAATCCAATGAAAAATCTCTAGAGCCACCTCTGCACATCACCTTCTGGTACATTTACTTTACAGTCAAACCAAATGGATCATCATTCCTTCTGTCTTTGCTTATTTTTGTTTGTTTGATTGTTGTTATTGTTGTTTGGGGGGGGGGCACTGTGGATTGAACCCAGGGTCTAACCACTAAGAATTGAACCACTAAGCCACAGTGCCAGCCCCTTTTAACATTTTGTTCAGAGACAGGGTCTCAGTGAGTTGCTTATGGCCTTGCTAAGTTGCTGAGGCTGGCTTTAAACTTGTGATCCTCCTGCCTCAGCCTCCTGAAAAAAATGTGCTACTGTACCCAGCATATTTGCTTATTTTTTATTCTCCACTTAAATGCTATTTCTGTCCCCCATGCTTGGTGAGAGCCAATTGAAATGATACTTTCTCCATAGAGCCTTTCTAGAATCATTTAGAGATGTTTAACTTTTATGTGGGAGGGTACTTCTGATATTAAAATAATTTATTTATGTTAAAAATATTTGTTTGGCTCCTTGTTAGACTGTGAACAACTTGAGGGCAGGGACTTATCTGTATCCTTGCACAGCAGACACATTATAAATGCTGAATAAATGTTGGTTAGGAGCGGAGTCTCTCTCTGCTTCCTGGAGTGATGTCCTGAGCCATTTTCCTCTCCACACCCTTCTGTCTCATCTCTGGCCTAGAGCTAATGGAGTTGGCCATATATGGACTGAGACCACTGAAACTATTGTTGCCCAAAGCTTGGACCTTGTCCCAGATGCCAATCCAATAACGAGGACACAGTTTTGAGAAAAAGGAAAGAGATAGTTTATTGTTGGGTTGCTACAAAGGAGAAACACAGCAGACTCCTGTCTCAAAGGCTGTGTTTCTGCCCTTCAGCATGAACAGGGAGGTTTTATAGAGGTGATTCAGAGAAAATGAGATTAGGGAGGGGAGATCAGAGAGAAGATCAGGGAAAGGGAGATCAGGGAGGAGAAGTTTGGGAAAAAGAAAAAAAAAAAAAAAACATAAGTTTCAAAGCCATAGTCAAGGCATCAAGTGAACTCCTATTATACTATGAGCCCCAAATAAACTTTTTCTACTCTAAAAAAAATATTGGTTGGATTGGTGGGTAAATGGTAAAGAAGGGAGGAAAAAATAAACCAACTGATTAGTAGGAATTAATTATGAATGTGGAATCAAGATTTTTCTTCCTTTGATCCCTTAAATGAGTTAAGGAATATAAATCTAGATGAATATTATTAAATATGATAGAAAGAACTGGCACATGAACACAGAATTGTTTTAGTACTTTTCAAAGAATCACAGAGAATAGAAATGGTAATGAAGATTTTTCAAGCTGGGGGAAAAGACATTTTCCAAAGAGTACAAAATGGTGAGTTGGCAAATTTTTGAAATAGACTCTAACTACTTATTTAAATAGAACTTATTAACACTTTCTTAGTCTATCTATTTTATCATAATTATTTGGGGTTAGTTTTATTAATATACTTAGTCAAGTTATTACTTCTGTTTGCTTAAATGTTTGTCTCTCTATGTCTTGATTTATCAGGGGTGAAAATCATCTGTTGGTCCCCACCCAACTATTACTGTATAAGGAAACCAGGATACTAATCCTAACTCTTTCCATCTTGCTCTACCAGTTCCTTTCATCTCCCAAACTTGTTTTATTACTATTATAAGGCCACAATTTCTATAGTTGTCTCATCATAGTTCTACATTGTTTTTTAAAAAAGAGAGAGAGAGAGAGAGAACTTTCAACATTTATTTTTTAGATTTCGGAGGACACAACATCTTTGTATGTGGTGCTGAGGATCAAACCCGGGCCGCACGCATGCCAGGCAAATGCGCTACTGCTTGAGCCACATCCCCACCCCAGTTCTACATCTTAATGGGTTCTTTTCTTTAAATAGTTCTCTTTTTTCCCAATTTTTCCATTCATTGGTTGGTTACCTCAAGGTTATCTTATAGAAGTTTCCTTAAGAAGGTCCCATGGGAACCATATTTTGTACTTTCTTAAATGCATAAAATATCTGTCCATTGTGTTTCTACTTGAATTATAAGCGGGCTGTTGTGCAGTGGATGGGATGCATTCTCTTTCTCTGATGACTACAGACTTTGGTTGCTATAATCAATTCTGGCATTTGATGTTTTTTTCCAGAAATCTAGAGACACCTTGACAATTTTTCACAGTATAGGAGACTTTACTTAAAAGCCCATATAAATGTATCTTTTATTTGTGAAGTCCAGTTACTTAACAAAGATATATCCTAATCTGTGTAAAATTTTCCCAGGATACAACATTGGCCTTTAAATCTATAGATTCATTACCTTATTTTTCAGAAAATCTTCCTTAAAAATATATACTAGCCAGGAGCAGTGGTGCATGACTGTAATTCCAGTGGCTTGGGAGGATCTCTAGTTTAAAGCCAACCTCAGCAACTTAGTGAGGCTCTAAGAAACTCTGTGAGACCCTGACTCTAAATTTAAAAAAAAAAAGGGCTGGGGATGTGGCTCAGTGATTAAGTGCCCCTGGGTTCAATCTCTAGTATAAAAAAAAATACTTGTTATGTTCTCTTCCTAGAAAGTCAAATTATGCATATCATAGAACTTTTTGATCTTTCATATCATTTCTTTTCTAATAATTTTAGTTCTTTATTTTCCATTTTATTTTCATAAACCTATCTTTCATGTCCCTTACCATTTTCAACATGGTAATTTTTCTTCAGTTATCACTTAAAGTTTCTTTAGAGGTGTTATTTACTAGCCCTGCTATAGGTGGAAGCATCAATTTAGGGAGGGCATGAGTGAGAGTGAGAAGGACAATAGTGAGTAGTCGAGAATGAGAAGTATCAAGTTCATATTTGACTAGCATTTGTTGTCTATATAAGCTCTTATGAGTAGTGATTCTGCTTCTACCTTGCAAGAAGTTTCCTTTACTCACAGGAAAGCACTCTATATATGGTACACTTCTATGTATGTGTATATGCATGTAACTTTGCATTATCTTTTAATTTTCCACTCCCTACCTTCTCTGACCTTTATGGTGGTCAAAAAGAATTACAGGATATTTTAACTACCAGCATGACACTGATTTTATTTTAAAACAAAGATCATTTTTTTCCTCTCTGAAGCCATACTAGCCACTTTTTGAGATCAAGGTTATAAAATTATTTAAGTTTCATCAAAACATGAATTTTTAGGACTGAGAATATAGCTGAGGTAGATTGCTTGCCTAGCATGTGCAAAGTCCTGGGCTTGGTCCTCAGCACTTCATAAAAGAAAACAAAAACAAGATAAAGTTTTAGTTTCCTTTATTTGCCTTGTTGTTTTATTTGGATTGAGAGAGGAAAAGGAAGCAAAGATATACTAACTCTAACATAGTAAACTTAAATATTTCTAGAATATATTATTAAACAGATATTTTAAGAGCAATTAACATAATAAGGAATATATAACCTGAGTTTGCTAAGAGAAAATTATGACAAACTAACCTTATGACCTTTATAAAAGGTTTAATGAGCTGGTAGATCAGGAAATGTCATAGATTTTATCAAGTAATTTGAGTAACTTTGCATTATGCCTCCATGGTGAATAGAAAGTAGTTAAAAATAGTTATCATTAGGCTGATGTAATTGGTTGACCAATTGAATTCAAATAGAATTCACTGATGGATTGACATTAACTTGAATAGAGATCCCTGAGAATAATTCATGCTTTTTGTAACCCTTCAAATGTTGTCATCAATGACTCAGATGAAGACACATAAGGAATAAGATTCACATTTATAAGGGAGTGTTAGTGAATGTTAATAACTTGGGAGAGGAGTATTTTTGAATTAAAAATCAAAAAGAATTTCTGAAGTTTGAAAGGACAATCTAAAGTTAAAAGGCAACATTTTTTAAATCAAAAATTCTGGGATGTAAAATCTTAAAAACGATTGCACATTAGAAATGTAATTTTGGGGGGCTGGGTTGTAGCTCAGTGGCAGAGCACTTGCCAAGCAAGTGTGAGGCTCTGGGTTCAATCCTCAGCACCAAATAAAATAAATAAATAAAATAAATGTAAAAGAAAAAGAAATGTAATGTTGGAAGATGGGAGAAATTCAAATGTAAACTTACCATGTGGCACAACATTTAAGAATTGCAATTTGATTTAGTTCTGAGTTAAAATGTATAACAAGTGAGATGATAAGCTCATTTTCTTCTGTATAGGTTGACCCTGTGAAGTTTACTCTTTCAATTTGATTGATATACTGGAGGAGGGGCAAACACTTCAAGAAGGTGGTTATTTCTAATTATAGATATCTGAAAGGCTACCATGGATATCTTGTGAAAAAATGAGGTTGATTTTTTTGGTTTCTTTGTTTTTGTTGTTGTTGTTTTTGTGGCCAGGAAGAGGTACTAAAGTGGTTTGAACATAGAGAAGTAGAGTAGACTGAGAAATTGTTGAGGTAGATGTCAAAAATAATGACCATTTCTCCACCCAAACAGTGTTGAAAATTAATTTTTTTTTAAAAAAGGAACAAAAACAATGGTCTAAAACTTTTTTGAAAAGATGATGATCTTAGTCTTCCTTCTTAGCCTTCCCTGTGGTCAAAATATTTACATTCTCTATAAGAAGCAGATTGTAACATTTTA